CAAGGAGGTACTCTTCACCTTCTATGTAGAGGTCACTATGATATGCCTTCCACTTTTTAACTGCTTTAGAAAGTATCCGTGTGTATGGAGCGTTGTTGGATACCCTAAGAGCAATTCTGTTCCCCCTTGCTGGTTTCAACCTCTTTTCTTTCCACTCCAACAAACCTATTGCAATTGTCACTTCCTCTTCCTTGGGTTTTCCTTTGTTCTTCTGACACTTAGTGTTCCATTGTTTTCCCTTGTTCCTCCTGTACTGGTCAAACAATTTAATAGGTTTGGGAGTGTCTTCCTTGAAGGAGGAATCTGCAATTAATTGACAACCAGTTTGCTTATCTACTTTGTTATTGTAAAATAACTGACAGGCGGTTTGACTATACAAACTTAGTTGACACACTCTTCCTTAAAGCTGTGCCTTTCCCTATCACCTCTAAGGAATTTTGCACCCTTATACATTATAGCCACCTGTGCGAAAAACAGAATGGAGGCGGGAGGAGGGGTGAAATTTGTTTCCTTCCCTGAAATCGAAGTACCCCATTTGAGGTCGGTGTCTAAACAATTTTGTTGCCGATTGTAGGTGAAGCTCACTTTCTGAAGACAAACAAGAAGCATTTCTATAAAAAGGAATTCAACTATTATGCGAATACACGATATTGACTCCTGTCAATAATTATCATAACATGGATGTCCAAACCAAATTTTATTACCCATGGTATACCGCTGGGTGGAAGAGTTCCACTATGAAACGGTAAGGGGTGAAGCCTCCCCGTACAAAACTTTGTTGAGTACCCCTCCACCTCCACCGGGTGAATTGGTGTAAGTGCAGTTTTTCAGCCCACCTAATTTTGTTAAACATTAGTCCCTAGTAGGGGAATATGAACAATAAAGTTGGTCCAAAGATTGGGTATTTTGACTCAAAAAAAAGTTGTTTTCTGATCAAAGACCCCATCTCAGTCCTTCCCCTCCCACACACGAAAAATAAGAAGCTTAGATAGCTGCACTAATAAAAAAAAAACGGGAAAAATTTTCCTGGCCATAAAAGTAGAAATAGTGCCGTAAACAAGCCAAAAGCCAAACTAGTTTGATAACAAAATAAAATATGACCTTTAGTATCCTTGGAAACACAGGATTAAGAACTCGACAGAAACCTTACAAATGAGAGGAGAAGAACACCATGTTAAGCTTGAAAGATGGAGAAAGATCTCCGGAGATAAAGCAAAAATACAGCCAGATGTCTCGCCATTACTACTCTCAGTATATACTACATAAAAAGTAAATCGTTACCTTGTCCACATTTAATGCAAAAGTTCGCCGACGTCGCAGTTTCTGTACTGCAGTTTGAGCAAAACATAATCACTCTAAAAGTAGGTTTTTTCAATCAAAAACATGGTAACTTGTTTTAAGAATGCAATTCTTGATTTTTATTGTCATTTTGAGACTTGGGAAATCATTTCAAGGTAATGGGGTATTGTTTTAAGACAGTGCTCATATTTAGCGTGATTGCTCTTATTTCAAGATTATATGGTTCTTGTTTTTAATTTCTTTTAAAGGTTCCAAAATATTGATTGTAACATGCAAATTCTTAATGGTTTCAATCATGAAATGATTTGATCCTAGTAAACGCTGAGATTTTTAAAATAGATTTTAAAAACATTTGCAAAAGTGAACGACGTTTTGAAGCTACGTTACGCCATACACGACTTTCATAATGGCGGACCGCTCAGGCGGAGTGGGAACGAACCACATCAGAGCGAGGCAAGTAAGGCCACTATATTTATCTCCGAAAGCGGTCGTGTGGAAAAACATGCAAATGCGTTCCAAATTTATTTGGCTTGTCGAGTTGTTTTAGTTTCTTTGGCGTAAAAAAGTAGAAATTCGGTAACCCTTCACTATCTGTAAGAGAAAATTTATCGCTAAACAATCGCTGATCGGAAGAAAAATGCCTACGAGCTGCTGCGTTCCTGAATGTACAAAGAAAGGTTATCTGGACGAAAATGGGAGAAAACTTTCTCACTTCAAGTTTCCAGTTGATCCGCTTCGACGGAAAAAATGGATTCACGCTATTAGAAGAGATGGGGGAGTGTATTTTCAGATACAGGAATGGACTAAAGTTTGCTCAAGGCATTTTAGAGAGTATGAATTTATCAAGACGCTCAGTGGTAGGAGATTGGCATTTCTCCTGGTGGAGCAATTACTTTTATTAGCCAATTGTATACTGGGAGCATTTCTGATAAGGAAATAGTAGTAAGAAGTGGATTGTTCGATTTGACATTCCCGGAAAAAGATTCTATCATGGCTGACAAGGGATTTACCATACAGGATTTGCTTCCTTTGGGAGTATCACTAAACATCCCGCCCTTCCTTGGTAGCTCTGCACAAATGCCAGCAAATGATGTAGTTTGCACTCAAGAAATTGCCCCTCTACGCATACATGATGAGCAAGCAATTAACAAAATAAAAAATTTTCACATTTGGGACGGGGTTGTACCTCTCCACCAGTTTGGTGTTGTAAATCAAATGTGGGCAGTTTGTGCAATTTTATGCAACGCCCAATCCAATATCATTTCTATTTAAACTGTTTTGTGTATTGACAAATTTACATTTTGGTATTTCTGTCATGCTACTCTGTAATTTTGGACAATGGTAACCATTAATGTTCACCTTAGAAAATTCACATCTACTTTCCATATTTAATAAACTTGTTGGAAAGAACACACCAATAAAGGATATTAAAGAACGAATAACAGTGCTTCTGGCCTTCAGATTATAATGTTCCTGCAGCAAAAACAGGTAGAATAATGCATGGTGTTTTACAATAATGAGACTACCAGCATTCCTTTAAAATTATGAGTTATTAGCATTTAGCAATAATGTCTACAACCACTTGAACATTAAGCCACAATGGAACCTTGGTAAATTGGTTCTCCTATTGCATCAACTAAGGCACAGATTAGTTAACCCTTAAAGACCCAATATCAAATTTGAAATTCTTTACTACTTCCTTCTTTTATTTTTGGTAATAATTGATTTCTTC